GGCCCAAAGGTACTGCCTCAGTGCATCCGGTTCTGAACAGGATACAGTGGAAGAAGGAATCTGGGCATTTGTTACTTACTAGGAGTTACATGAGGAATTATAATGGGCTTCATTATTCAGTTGTTGTCCATGCAGAGTCACACAAGAGATTAAAGGAAATAAAATAATGATGAACGGGAAAAGTCACAAAAGATTCTTAGAGGGAAATAAGAATGTAGTAAGATATGTGTACTGTTTTGTTCAAAAGGAAGATTCAGTTGTGTAGGAGAAGAAACAGGTTTTGAAGTTAGTAGAAACAACATGGGTTAAAATAGCAAATTAAAGAACCAGGACTTACATGGAGATACAGTATAAGGAAAGTATAGAGTCTTTGCCCACATGAGTGGGTGAACCAGGCTGTAGGCTGTGTTGAGCCAGATAGAATGAAGGTGCTGACCAAAGGCTGTGTCTGCTTGTTCTCTTTCCTGGCCTGCTTATCCTGGCAGTAGAACTGCCACTTTAAGGTAGTCACGTGAGGAGAAAAACTACTTGCAGTGGTCTGAGTGTTGGAGGTGTAGCTCCTCCTGTGGGAAGGGCCGGGTGGGAGTGTCGTGGAGGCTTGGGTGACAGACAAGAGTGAGCAGGGTTCACTCTCATGGTTTGGATTATATGTAAGGATGAGTCTAAGTCTGGTTCTGGGGAGAACTTCTAAAGAGGGAAAGTACCAGCTGTTTTGGCCATTGACCTTGGCGAGATTCCTACAGGATCGAATCTCATTAATTGCGAGGGCGCTGCCTGTACCTTGGGCCTGGTGACCAGCCCCCTTGGTGTGAGAAGCAGGAGGGGGGCTACAGCCCCCCGAGTTCCTGCCACCGCTGGGCTGGGCTGTCCTCAAGCGGCCTGCACTCTGTGTCCCTACGAGATGCCCACCCGGGAGATTGAGTCTGCCTTGAGAGGGCGGGGCGACGGGACAGGAAGCTAACAAAATTTCAAAGATAAACTTTTAAAGGTCTACTTAAAGTGCATTCTGATTAGTTCTAAAAATGTGCTACTTTTGATAGTTTGAAGATTGTTCTTTGGGAATGTATTGAGGATCAACTTAGAAGAAGGTAGATTTGTGGATTTTACTAGATGATGATCAGTGACTGAGCCCAGCTAGAACACAGAGCTGCTGATGGTAAGAGGATTAAAGTGGGAATTCTAAGAAAAATCCCTTAGGGAAGCAGTGTAATAATAAAATGGTTTTTGGATTGATTACATCAGTACTTAGAGCACTGTTTTTTATTTCTTGTTTTTCACCTTTATGAGAACTTCTGGTGTTGGCAGGCAATGTTATGGAATCTAGAGGTAGGTTGTTTCCCTTAAGCCATGCTGGTTGTCTACTTCAGAGGATTCTTTGTGTTTAGCAGCTTAATCTAATATTTTTTGATTGTTCTAGATTTTTCCACGGTAACACATGTCCTCTTTGTTTAGCACCTAGCATCTCTCCTGCTCCATAACAAGTTTGCCACAGAGTTTGTTGCACACGGTGGAGTACAGAAATTATTGGAAATTCCTCGTCCGTCTATGGCTGCTACTGGGGTGTCCATGTGCTTGTACTACCTGTCCTACAACCAGGAACTTATGATGCTGGTCTGTTCCATCAGAGTGTGTTCGCATGTCTGTGTTGATACAGGACAAAGGAGGTGGGGGAGAGATGCCTCATTTCTCTAATCTTCTATCCTCACAAAGAATTGGACTTCGGTGAAAATAAAGCCAAACGTTGAGGCTTGTTTCTGGTCTTCGTTTCAGTTACTTCCCATCTTCATGCAGCTTGGGTCACGGGAGCTGATGATGTTCTACATCGACCTGAAACAGACTAATGATGTCCTGCTGACGTTTGAGGCACTCAAGGTGAAGTTCTTAAAAATACCAGACCACGGACCCTGACCACTTTATTGACGTGGACGTGCCTCTGTGTTCTGGGTTTTACTGCGTAGGGCATTTCTGTGGACAGATGTGTCCAAGTGGCCACAAATGAACATTTCTTACTTAGAAGAGATACCTCCACAGAAATTCAGGGATTGGTCCTGGAGGGTTGAATAGTCAGGTAGAGGGTAGGCCCAGGCCAGGGAGCACCTCGGTTCCTGTCACTGAGCAGGAGTGGAACTGTGTACAGCACCCTACAGCATAATGCCTCGTCAGTATTCCCGACCAGCCAACAGTACTCTCTCCCAGTTCTTAACTATGTGTATATCGTTTGATGTTAGATTGTCTAGGCTGCACAAAATAGAAGCCAGAAAATGAGTCAAGAAATAGAGGCAAACCCTGATTCAGTAAAGGTAAATGATTTCCCAGGTTGCAGAGGGACTAGGTATGGGAGGGCAGGTAAGTTTGGTCCACCAGGTCCATACTTGCCCGTGATAATTAAGGTCATCTGAGTGGAGAGAGGCTGAGTGAGTGACATAGCAGCTGTCATAGATGGCTACCCAGTGGGTGACTAATGAACAGAGTACCATTCTATGATGCTGACAGTATTGGACACATACCTAAATCGAGTCTGTGCTCTTTATGGTTTGGTTAAGAGAGAGAATCCTGTAAACCCATGACTTCTTTTAGATATTGTAGAGGTTTTGGAAGTGTGCGCTGTGAAGGAAGGAGTGGTCTACTGTCCTTGAGAAACAGTAATTTCTGTTAAAAGCCTCTGAAGAAGAGACAGTGTTCTCTCACTTTTGAATTTCATTAGCCACATGTGGCCAATGGCTGCTGCGTGGGATAACACAGTTCCAAAGTATATTGAAATGAAGGAGAAATGAGGAAAATTACCTCTCAGACCACAGAAATGTTAAAATTGAAGGACGTCAGATATATTGAAGGGTGTGACTCACTGAGTGTGTAAAATTTAAATTTAGAGGTCAATTATTGGAGTAGTGTGTATCCCCATGTACGGGATACATTGTGTGTGTGTGTGTGTGTGTGTGTGTGTGTGTGTGTGTATAAACTATGATTATGCTTTGAACATTGGGTTGAAGCTGGAGGTCAGAGTTGTCCCCAGTGGCCCAAAGGTACTGCCTCAGTGCATCCGGTTCTGAACAGGATACAGTGGAAGAAGGAATCTGGGCATTTGTTACTTACTAGGAGTTACATGAGGAATTATAATGGGCTTCATTATTCAGTTGTTGTCCATGCAGAGTCACACAAGAGATTAAAGGAAATAAAATAATGATGAACGGGAAAAGTCACAAAAGATTCTTAGAGGGAAATAAGAATGTAGTAAGATATGTGTACTGTTTTGTTCAAAAGGAAGATTCAGTTGTGTAGGAGAAGAAACAGGTTTTGAAGTTAGTAGAAACAACATGGGTTAAAATAGCAAATTAAAGAACCAGGACTTACATGGAGATACAGTATAAGGAAAGTATAGAGTCTTTGCCCACATGAGTGGGTGAACCAGGCTGTAGGCTGTGTTGAGCCAGATAGAATGAAGGTGCTGACCAAAGGCTGTGTCTGCTTGTTCTCTTTCCTGGCCTGCTTATCCTGGCAGTAGAACTGCCACTTTAAGGTAGTCACGTGAGGAGAAAAACTACTTGCAGTGGTCTGAGTGTTGGAGGTGTAGCTCCTCCTGTGGGAAGGGCCGGGTGGGAGTGTCTTGGAGGCTTGGGTGACAGACAAGAGTGAGCAGGGTTCACTCTCATGGTTTGGATTATATGTAAGGATGAGTCTAAGTCTGGTTCTGGGGAGAACTTCTAAAGAGGGAAAGTACCAGCTGTTTTGGCCATTGACCTTGGCGAGATTCCTACAGGATCGAATCTCATTAATTGCGAGGGCGCTGCCTGTACCTTGGGCCTGGTGACCAGCCCCCTTGGTGTGAGAAGCAGGAGGGGGGCTACAGCCCCCCGAGTTCCTGCCACCGCTGGGCTGGGCTGTCCTCAAGCGGCCTGCACTCTGTGTCCCTACGAGATGCCCACCCGGGAGATTGAGTCTGCCTTGAGAGGGCGGGGCGACGGGACAGGAAGCTAACAAAATTTCAAAGATAAACTTTTAAAGGTCTACTTAAAGTGCATTCTGATTAGTTCTAAAAATGTGCTACTTTTGATAGTTTGAAGATTGTTCTTTGGGAATGTATTGAGGATCAACTTAGAAGAAGGTAGATTTGTGGATTTTACTAGATGATGATCAGTGACTGAGCCCAGCTAGAACACAGAGCTGCTGATGGTAAGAGGATTAAAGTGGGAATTCTAAGAAAAATCCCTTAGGGAAGCAGTGTAATAATAAAATGGTTTTTGGATTGATTACATCAGTACTTAGAGCACTGTTTTTTATTTCTTGTTTTTCACCTTTATGAGAACTTCTGGTGTTGGCAGGGAATGTTATGGAATCTAGAGGTAGGTTGTTTCCCTTAAGCCATGCTGGTTGTCTACTTCAGAGGATTCTTTGTGTTTAGCAGCTTAATCTAATATTTTTTGATTGTTCTAGATTTTTCCACGGTAACACATGTCCTCTTTGTTTAGCACCTAGCATCTCTCCTGCTCCATAACAAGTTTGCCACAGAGTTTGTTGCACACGGTGGAGTACAGAAATTATTGGAAATTCCTCGTCCGTCTATGGCTGCTACTGGGGTGTCCATGTGCTTGTACTACCTGTCCTACAACCAGGATGCTATGGAAAGAGTGAGTCGTGCGTTTGGGTGTGTGGGGGGGCTGGGTGGCCGGCCACTCTGGCGCATTCCCAGAACCACCTCTGGATAGGAAGAAAATGACTAGTCGGAGTACATGTCAATGAAAGAAGTATGGTGGTGATCTTTACCAGGCACTCTAAAAATGTAAAGTTGTTTAGAAAAGGTTCTTTTTTTCTGACCCTGTGAAGAAGAGCAAGATGGATTGGAGTCTGGGGACTTTATACATTTTTTTTTGCCATTTCTGTTGCATCCCTGTCTGTCCCTGGGTGGAGTTACATTTTGCATTTTTTACTCAATCTGTTGTAAAAACAGCAGATGATGAAGCTCTGTGTTGGTGAGCAGATAGTGTGCGGAGGGGACAGTAAAACCTCTCCTGCTGTTCTCAGGGCTTCAGAGGTGCCACATCAGTTCTTTTATTTTTCTAGTGAAGACTTTCTTACGTAGTGATACGAAGACAGTAAGTGGGCTCCATATCTGGGAAGTAAGTGGGTCCTTAGACCCCCCAAGGAGGCTCTTGTCACTTCGAGGCTGGGAATGTGGCTCTGCTCTTCTGTGTGGTGTGGTTTTCCTGGGAGAGTCAGGTGGGTGAGTGCTTCTTGGGCTTTGTCTTTATTCATCTGCGCATACTTATTAATAAGATGACATTTCGATGTTCTTTCCCTCTTGAGAGCCACATCGTGCAAGGATACGTAGTCTTTGAGTGTGGTATCCTAATCTGTGCGTGTACATACGCAACTGTGGCTAAGGGCACATTAGATGCTGCCGTCCAAGGCGCAGAGTGAGTCAGTGAGTGAGGCTTAGTCGCTCCGCGACCCTGGGGATGGTCCTTACCCCCGAGTCTCTTCCTCATTTTTCAAGTGGGAACCCTAATACCCACGTAACAGAGCATTGTGAGCATTAAAGGAGGTAAATATTCATAAAATTAGGCATTCAGTAAGTATAGATCAAATTTAAATGCTTATCTAAATTTCAGTTGTTTTCGGGTTTGAAATAGATTGTTACGTTTCATTTGTAACATGAGCTTTAAACTCAGAATGACCTGACCGGGAAAGATCATCGTATGTGCAAAGATATCTGTCTATACTGCTGAATTTCTCATCCCTTTTGAACGTTCCTTTGCCCCTAAATTTTTTAAATTATGTTTTTATTTTTTGCAGGTTTGCATGCATCCTCACAATGTTCTGTCTGATGTGGTGAACTATACCCTTTGGTTAATGGAATGTTCTCATGCCTCAGGATGCTGCCATGCTACCATGTTTTTCTCAATCTGCTTCTCCTTCCGGGCCGTGTTGGAGCTCTTTGACCGCTATGATGGTCTTCGGCGTCTGGTGAACTTGGTGAGGCCCTTCAGTGTCTTCTGTCTTTGAGGAGCAGGCATCCTGTTTGCCCCTTAGCAGCAGCTGAGGAGAGGCAGCTTTTGACTGTAGGGGTTTTGCTGTCATTCTTTGTGGGTGAAGTCCTCTCCATCCCTCATTCACAGTTGCCTTGTCTCAGAAGCGGTTGGGGGCCTGTGTGCCCCTGCACACACTGGCCTGGAATGTAGTTGTCGCACGCAGGAGGCGCTGTGGAGGAGCTGCCTATATATCTCTGAGCGGGATTGGAAGCCATGTAACGGCTCACTTGGTGTGATGTCTTGCTTCCCTGTGGCTGCGCTTAGCGTGGTGTATACACAGGTGCATGCCGATGTTTGCCGGCCTTGCCGAGCACAGAGGTTTACTGAAGTTTTCCTCTCCTTACTTTTCCTGTTTGCTCCTCCCCAACCCCCACCCTTGCCCCACTCTTTTGCTTCTTTCTCAACAGATCAGTACTTTGGAGATTCTAAACCTGGAAGATCAGGGTGCCCTTCTGAGCGATGATGAGATATTTGCCAGCCGCCAGACAGGCAAGCACACCTGCATGGCCCTGCGCAAGTACTTTGAGGCCCACCTGGCCATTAAGTTAGAGCAAGTGAAGCAGTCACTTCAGAGGACCGAGGGGGGCATTCTTGTCCATCCGCAGCCGCCCTACAAGGTGAGAGGCCCTTGTCTCACAGGGAGCGCTGCTAGCACTCTCTGTGGCGCTTTGGGCCGCAAGCCCCCATTCAGGTCACTGGGGTCTGTGTGTGGGTTCCTGGGTGACCCTTGCCCTACGTGGAGCCTGAACACTTGCAAGTGGATGTGTCAAGGACGGACTTTGCTCCCAGCCGGAAGTTGCTGCTTCCCTGGGATGCTGGAACCACAAGGTGAAGTGTGTGTAAAAGGGCTTTCTTTTATGAAAAGTACTGGATGTCTTAGCTCCTTCTGTGTGGAGCCTCTCTGAAGGATGTGCCTAGAGCTGCACTTCTCTCTCATTTTGAGTTTGATATGTTTTGGAATGAAGATATGTTTGTTCAGTGATACGTTTAGTCCTAAAAACCACATTGAACAGACTAGTTATTTTACATGGTGCTTTTTTTCTTAGGCTGTGAAGTAATGCACCAACAAATTGAATGTTTTGTTCCTTTTTGGGCAAAATGTATCATGAGTCTATTTATAAATAAAAGACTATTATATAGTCATTATTTCACAGATTATTATATAGTCATTGTTTCGTATGTGGGCTCGACTCAAGAATTGTAGAATTTGAAAGCCTTATTATTCAAAAGTATTGGCCATCAAGCCGTGTTGGGGAGGGTAGTGGGCACAGGGCAGAGCTCTTCAGTAAGCTCTCTCTCCTTATAGGCATGCTCATACACTCACGAACAGATAGTGGAGATGATGGAGTTCCTGATAGAATACGGTCCGGCTCAGCTCTACTGGGAACCAGCTGAAGTCTTCCTTAAACTCTCCTGTGTCCAGCTGCTGCTGCAGCTCATTTCCATCGCCTGCAATTGGAAGACCTATTATGCAAGGTGGGACAAGAGAGGGGTTTCGGACGGTTTGATTTCTGCTTTTGCTAGAGCTGCTGTTGGTTTGCACATATGCTTAACAAACATTTGTTGAAGTGAACTGAAATTTTGGGCTTTCACTGAGAGCTAGATTGAGCATGATAATTTTTACTTTATAGAGTGCTTATTTAGATTTGTGGTCCTGGTGACTGTAAGTGCCACACAGCAGGCAGGCATTCGGGCCTGTGCTCCCAGCAGTTAACAGTTCTCATTGCTGTACTTGCAGAGGCGGGGTTGAAGTCCTGTCTGTAGGCTGAAGCCTAGTATATTTGGGGGCTTAGATTATAAATCTCTACGACGTGACGACCATACCTAAAGTTTACCGTCACATAAACCTGTATTTTTTGCTCTTGTTATGATTTTCACAGTTCAGTTAAAAGCAGAGCAGGACAAGGCTTAGGGAAAGGACAGCTGGCAGGTCAGGAGGTTGGGTGGGTTCTTTTGACGATGATTTAAAATGAATGGAAACTCTGTTTTTGAAAGATGGGGTCTGAGAGAAGGTAGTAGTAGCAAGTTCACAGACAGCGGTTCTTGATCTTCTTTCTCTGGCCACTGCCATAAAGACGAGGGGCTCATTTAGGGTCATGGGCTTGTTGGCTGCACCCCGGGGTGGTAAGTCTAGGGGATACTGCCAGCATAGCCATTTTCACGCTTTCTGGTCTCAGGTCCCCTTTACCCTCTTATACATTGAAAACCTCAGAGGGCTTTTGTTTTCGTATGCAATCTACCAATATTTAACGTATTAGATACTAAAGCTGAGAAAAGTGTAAAAATACTTATGAATTTATTTAAAAATAAACTCATTGCATATAGCATTTTTTTAATGAAAAATTCTAAAATCAGATTTCAGCAAGTTTTTAAATGTCTGGCTTAATATCTCTTACCTGCTTCTGTATTTTGATCTTCTGTGATATCACACATGACAGCCTCTAGAAAGCTCCACCGTACACTCGAGAGAGTGAGAGTGAGCAGGGAAAGTGACATCTTAGTGTTATCGTGGAGGTGATTGTTATATCACCCGACCTTCTGAAAGGGTCTCAAGAGACCGACCCCTCAGGGGTCCCCTCCCCAAACTTTGAGAACCACTGTTGAGACAACTTTGCTTAAAAGAGGATGAAAGCTCAAAAGGTAACTAGGAAAGTTATGAATATGTTTTTCCCCCATATTTGGACTACTAAGAAAATATAAATGTTTGGAGTATGTTCTTTAAAAGTTTGTTCTTAAAAATTAAACACTTCTGCTTAGAATGTACAAAAGCACAGAAAAGAGAATTATTCTTAGCCAGTGATAAAAAATATATGTAAATACACATTGAGATTATAGTATTTAATAAAAAATACAGGAGGGCACAGAGGATAATACAGCCACCACTTTGTGCCCACGGCTGGCATGTTGCTGTATGTGCCGCTCTGACAGTCCCTCTCCTCTGCCTCCCCAGAGTGACCAGTATTTTGGAGCTGGAGTGTGTGCTCTCCTGTCCTGTTTTTATGTTGTACAGATGTGTACAATATAGTTATTATAAGCAGTAATACAGTACTCTTTTGTATGTTTTTAGGTTATATAAGTATTGTCCTATATGTATCTTTTGCAACTTTTTTGAGATTTGTACTAAGCGTTGATGTTTGCTCAGACTCTTGTATTTCTCTACTACCATTTATTCTCCTGCTGTGGATATTTAGTGTGTGTGTATGTTTTCTGCTATCAAGTGAATGGTACCACATACCTCCTTTAGAGTCTCCCTTGAGATTGTACAAGCTAGGCTGTAGGCCGTCTGCATTTCATCTTTATTGGTTGGATTTCCAAATGGCTCAGAAAATGATCATACATTTGTTTCCCCCGACAGCAGTATATGAGCGTTTCCTTTCTCTCTTGTCTTGCCAGTAGTTGATACTATCAGATGTAAAATTTTGTCTTACAGTTTGTTTCATTAGTGTTGTATTTGGGCCATTTCCTTTGTCCTTTAGAGTTCTTTGAAAATAATTGTCAAGAGCTTCAGAGTTGTTCTTCATATGAGTGTATCATAATTTTCGCATGTATTGCTGTTCTCTGTAGGTTTTCTAATTAGCTCTTGCTAATTTAAATGATGTGAAAATGCACATCTTAATACATAAATTCTTGTTTGTACTTTTGATAATTTCCTTAGGATGGATTCTTGAAAGTGAAATTCCTGGGTCAAAGACTATAAATATTTTAAGAATCTTGTTCTGTATTTCCAAATTATTTTCCAGAAAGAGTGTCAATTTCTGCTGCCACCAAAAGTTTGAGAGCATTTGTCTCTGTACATCTTTACCAACACTGGGAGTCATCCTTTGTTGTTTTTTTTTATTTTATTAAGATATCATTGATATACACTTTTAGGAAAGTTTCATAAGAGAAACAATGTGGTTATTACATTCACCCTTATTATTGAGTCCTCCCCATACCCCATTGCAGTCACTGTCCATCAGTGTAGTAAGATGCCACAGAGTCCCTACTTGTCTTCTCTGAGCTACACTGTCTCTCCCGTGACCCCACACACACCGTGTGCACCAATCATGATACCCCACGGTCCCCTTCTCCCTCCCTCCCCGCTCGCGCTCGCTGTCCCCCAATCATCCTTTGTTTTTAATCTTAGGGATTTGATAGGTGAAAAGTCCACCCCCATGTGTTTTCAAATTAGTGTCATGGTGACAAATGCTCTCAACACTATGGCTGGGACGGAGCTGCACAGGTAATAGTTGTGATCCAGCCCGTCTCCCGCTTTCTCTTTCTAACCATGTTCTGGCTTGTGCTGTATGCCGGGTCTCCGTTGACTCACTGTTCTTCCTGCCCAGGAATGACACCGTGCGCTTCGCCCTGGATGTCCTGGCCATTCTCACCGTGGTGCCCAGAATCCAGCTCCAGCTGGCAGAATCAGTGGACGTGCTGGATGAGGCCGGCTCCACTGTCTCCACTGTAGGTAGGTCACACCCTGCCCATTCTTGTTACCACTTCGTCTGGATGTGTTTTCCTTTGATATTCTGCTTGTCGTTAGTTACCTGATCTAATGCTGCAGTATTAGAACAGAAGGCAGTGGAGGAGGGTACCTGTCTGTCCCTGCTAGGTCATACATACAGGTCATGGAGAGGAGTCAGCACTGGCCAACTCAGGCTTTCTGAATGGTGCAGGTGTTTCTGCCGTAATGACGCACGTGCATTCCTGAAAACCTTGTACTCAGCAGTCCTGTGCTAAAAATAAAGTTTATGGGAAAAAATGGGTTGGGGCAGACAGTAAAAAACCGAAGCAACTCTATAACCTTAGCCCTAACAAAATCCGCGATTGGCAAGCAGCTCAGAATGGACAGAGGCTGCCAAACACAAAACGGAAGCGAACTACACTTTACTACGAGCAAGGCTCCTCCGGTGAGTCAGGACTGACTGCGGGACCTGGGGCGCACCACTCTGGGGAGAAAGCCTGAGGTATAGCCACTGGTTCTTAATTTCATGTACAGCAGAAAGGGTTCCTGCTGTCACTGTGGCAGCTAGGCTGAGGGCTTTTCCCTTCCCCACTAGTTTAGCTCCTCTTACCTGGGAAAAATTGCACATTCCATGCAAAAATGGTATCATTCCCTTATTTAACAGCTGCATACGAGGTACTGGTCACAAAGATACATTGCAGTAGAGCTGATTATATTGTATACAAGCAGCGCCTTGTACTTTTTAAAAATGAGGTAATTTTCTTTAAGTGCAACAAAATGTATAGAACTCTAAATTTTGACTCTGGAACTTCCCAACTGTGAAAGATGGCCTTTCATTTTATGAGGAATACTCTCAAAGGTTTTTTTGGGTCTTCCCCCAATAGGTATCAGCATTATTTTGGGAGTAGCTGAGGGTGAGTTCTTTATCCATGATGCTGAAATCCAGAAGTCTGCACTTCAGATTATCATCAATTGTGTGTGTGGCCCGGATAATCGAATCTCCAGCATTGGCAAATTCATCTCTGGCACGCCTCGGAGAAAGCTGCCTCAGACTCCCAAAAGCAGCGAGCACACCTTGGCCAAGATGTGGAACATTGTCCAGTCCAACAACGGCATCAAGGTGCTCCTGTCCTTACTGTCCATCAAGATGCCCATCACAGATGCTGACCAGATCCGGGCTCTGGCCTGCAAGGCCCTGGTGGGCCTGTCTCGCAGTAGCACTGTCCGGCAGATCATTAGCAAGCTGCCCCTTTTCAGCAGCTGCCAGATCCAGCAGCTCATGAAGGAGCCTGTGCTGCAGGACAAGCGCAGCGAACATGTCAAGTTCTGCAAGTATGCGGCCGAGCTCATTGAGCGGGTGTCCGGGAAGCCGCTGCTCATTGGCACTGACGTGTCACTGGCTCGGCTGCAGAAAGCAGATGTTGTTGCCCAGTCGAGGATCTCCTTCCCTGAGAAGGAGCTGCTTCTGTTGATACGAAACCATCTCATTTCTAAAGGGCTTGGGGAGACAGCAACTGTGCTGACAAAAGAGGCTGACCTGCCCATGACTGCTGCCTCACATTCTTCAGCCTTCACCCCAGCCACCGCTGCTGCTCCTGTGTCTCTTCCCCGAACCCCACGCCTTGCCAATGGCATCGCCACTCGGCTGGGCGGCCATGCTGCTGTGGGTGCCCCTGCGCCTTCTGCCCCCATGGCCCATCCGCAGCCACGGCCCCCTCAGGGCTCACTAGCTCTGCCGGGCCCGTCCTATGCAGGCAACTCCCCCTTGATAGGGAGGATCAGTTTTATCAGAGAGAGGCCGTCCCCCTGCAATGGCAGGAAAATCAGAGTATTGCGGCAGAAGTCGGACCACGGCGCCTACAGCCAAAGCCCGGCCATAAAAAAGCAGCTGGACAGACACCTTCCTTCCCCACCTACACTGGACAGTATCATCACGGAGTATCTTAGAGAGCAGCATGCTCGCTGCAAGAACCCAGTTGCCACTTGCCCGCCTTTCTCTCTCTTTACTCCTCACCAGTGTCCTGAGCCAAAACAGAGGCGGCAAGCGCCAATAAACTTTACCTCAAGGCTAAACCGCAGGGCGTCGTTTCCAAAGTATGGAGGGGTGGATGGCGGGTGCTTTGATAGGCACCTTATCTTTAGCAGGTAATCTCCTTACCACCTCACTCCCGGGAAATTGGCTTGACTCTTCTATTTAAATCAGAGCATGTGGGCAATATCAGCAGAGTGATTGCACCAGAATGCCGGGGTGTTTGCTGGCTGACAATACCAGTGACAGTCGCTTTGCACCAATACCTGAGCATGAGCGATGTGACTCCTTCCCTTAGCCAGCCTTCTGGGGACCTCGGGTGCCTCCTATGCTTGTTGGCAGTAAGATACTGTGTCCTTGTCAGAGCCCATGCACCGTGCCGTCCCCACCTAGGCTCCCAAACTTGGTATCCTGCTGGTCCAAGTTGTCTCCTATTTTGATTCTTTACAAATCTTACGTAAAGGTCGGAGGATCACAGGTGTTAAACATGGGAATTTTTGTTGTTAAAATTTGTAAGTGGAGGTCCTTTTTCTCATCTCAAATGCAAATGAACCACCGAAGCTGACTGATACTTTAAAAGAACCCTATTGAAACATAAATGCTCAGTTCTCTCACCCTCTAGCAGAGCGTCTCTTTGGAGTCCTTGCACATTGTCTCTGATCCTTTTTTTGTTTGCCTAGGTTCCGTCCGATTTCAGTGTTCCGGGAAGCCAACGAGGATGAGAGTGGCTTCACTTGCTGTGCGTTCTCAGCACGGGAGCGGTTCCTCATGCTTGGCACCTGCACTGGGCAGCTGAAGCTGTATAATGTGTTCAGTGGGCAGGAGGAGGCCAGCTATAACTGTCACAACTCGGCCATCACACACCTTGAACCTTCCAGGGTGAGGGTCCCTTCCTAGGTGGTATCAGCCTTCCTTCTGCCGTGGCTGGGGAGCTGTGGGCCTGTGGTTGGCTGGGTGCCTGTATTTGCGTGTTTCACGGCAGCAAAGCCAGCCTCACATGCTTAACATGTTATCTGTGGCTGCTTCTGGACTGCAGTGCAGAGGGGAGCGGTTGCAACACGGATAACGTGGCCTGTAAAGCCCAAGGTATTTACTATTTGGCCCTTTAAGTAAGTCCGCCAGCCCTTGTTTTAAGACCTGGAGGTGTATGTATATATATCCCTATCATCTCTGTCTCTATATTTTATACATACATACACACATCTATCTATATATGTGTATGTGTGTGAGATATGTATATCTCACATACACACACATTTTTTTTTTTTAATTTATCTTAGTTGGAAATTGAGATGGAACTGACACCGACTTTCTAAAAGTCAGGACTGTTAGGATGACAAGTGTAGTTTTCCTGATATTAGAGTAAAAGACGATCCCCCTTTTTGGGGCTTTCTCTTTGAGGACCTTTAAGTGTCTTTAGCTAGAAAGTCTGACATGTTTTCAGTTGACTGTTAGTTTAGATGAGGGAAACTGAGGACTATGTCCTGTATCAGGAAAGAAGGAATCATCTTCGACATCTTTCCAAGTTTTCCCCCTCTTCCTGGAACTATTGTATTTTCTGTTCAGGAGGATTTATTACTGAATTTAGTTACTTTTTAGGGCACTGCAGGTGCATGTACTTAAACCCTAGTAGCTTCTGACCCTTTCGTGGTTCCTTGGAGTTTCTCTGTTGTCTTTACAATCCACAAATATTTTTTAAGCTTGTATTTTAAAATGCTAGTGGGAGATAGCATTTGCATAGATACATGGTGACCCGCCTTTGGCCTCCTCCTAGGACGGGTCCTTGCTGCTGACATCTGCTACCTGGAGCCAGCCCCTGTCTGCACTGTGGGGGATGAAATCAGTGTTTGATATGAAGTATGTAGCTACTTTTATAACCTAGTCTCTCTGTTTTATAATTTGCCTAATTTATATCCCCTTCATCTGATTCTTAGACTTAAAGCCTTTTGGGAAAAGAGGAATGCTGTGAGTCATTGCTTACTTCTCTCTTTCTCATCTGTGGCTTAGGTTTAGTAAGATTTTTATCTTTCTAAATTCCTGGATATTCTTACCAGGTATATACATTCCTGTCACATGGCAAACCTTCACCGATTCTAAAGAGCACACCTGTGTTTCCTCATGTTCACATGTGACAGTTGCACTTTTGGCTGGGTGCACTTCAAGGCATGCGTGCCCCGTTGGCCCTTCCTTTAACTAATTCCGGGAAGTATTTCAGATCCACTTGGACAAGCTGATGGAGGGAATTGTCTTGGTAGTCGTTAAGTGTACAGTTTTTCCTGTTTGGAAGCGGAGCATCTCCGAGTGTGGTTGGGCCAGAGGCTCAGAAGAAGCCCTTGTTTCTGCGGGTTGGGCAAGCGTGCCCTGCAGGCCCACTGCTCAGCCCTCCTGTTGTGTGTCTGTAGGCATTCCTTCACGGAAGATCACTATGTCGAGTTCAGTAAGCACTCTCAGGACCGGGTCATAGGCACCAAAGGAGACATCGCCCATGTAAGTACTTCAGATGTCGCTGCATTTGAGCTGGTGGTGCCCATTTGTGGAGTGAATGTGAGGATTGAAATTCTGTGGGCACTGAGAAATGGCTCAGTGATACTCTTCCCAGATGGAATCCAGAAGTGTAGTAAAGTAGTTCTAAGATACATGGGAAAACGTAAAAGGACTGAACATGAACTTAATCTGGCAATTTGAGGAAGAGTCATTAGCACAGCAGATATTTTCAAATACTTGCAGTTTTAGGTGAAGTAAAGTCCTTGCCGTATGGAGCCACATTGGGGAGACCGTAAAGAAGCCAGAGGTGAAATGTCAGGTAGCAAGTGCCCCCAAGGAGGAGGAGGTGGGGAAGGGGTGGGATGTGTCTGGGGGTGGTGTGGGGGACTTGGGTTTTATCTAGGATAGTGTTACTGGTTAGTGCTTAAGCAACGTCTTGAAGGAAGTGTGGGTGTGCTGCAGACAGATGAGGGAAAAGTGTTCTGAGAGAAGAAATGGCAAGGGAAAAGCCCTCCCTTGGGAGCTGGTGGGGGAAGGGTAAGAGCTGAGGTCAGTGGGGCCACCTCGTGTAGCATCCTGCAGCATGGTGGCAGGACCTTTGGCCTTTCCACTGAGTGAGGTGAAGGCACTGGAGGCCGAGCAGAGGACACAAGTGGCTGTGAAGTTCCTGAAGTGTGAGTCTGGTTTCTGTGAGAAGGAAGAGCAGGCTTCCTGGCTAGCAGGCTGTTGCGGCAGCCCGTGTGTGAGAGCTGCAGAGGCCTGGGCCCCCGCGGGCCTGGTGGGGAGGCCGTGGGAAGGCCATGGCTGGACCCTGCGGGTTTGGACACGTGAAGCTTGTTACTCTATTAGACGTTCAAGTAGGGAGTGGGCAGTTGGACATCCAAACTGGGAGTTCAGGAGAGAGGTCTGGGGTGGGAGATAGAGATTCAGGGATTGTCCACACGTCAGCAGTGGTTAGAGCCGTAAACCTGGATGAGATCAAGGGCCCTAGAGGAGAGAATATGGGGACAAAGTCCTGGCATGTGCCAACATTTAGATTTTGCCAAGTGAGGAGGAGCTTGAGAAGGAGACCAGGGAGAGTGGCCAGTAAGGCAGAGGGAATCCCGGGAGCGAGATGAGTTCCGGAAGGTGAGGGAAGCCGCTTCTGAAGAGATTTCATCGATTGGGTCAGAAACTGCTGAGCCGCATGGGATGTGGATCGCAGGGCGACCTCTGAGTTAATGCCGCGGAGGCCACCATTACCCACCAGGGGCTTGCTGCGTGCACCAGGGTTTACGCTGATCAGAAGTGGAGACACAGAGTATAAACAAGTCTTTGGAAGTGTGCTAAAAATAAAAAACAAGGCAGAGAAGTGGGGTGGAAGCTTGGGTGGCAGCTGTGAGCAGTAAAGGAAGGCTTTCTCTCAGGCTTTTCATTTGAAAATGTTAAAGTATGTGGCAAAGTTGGAAGAATAGTACATATACCTATCACCTAGTAATAGTTTGCCATATTTTCTTTGTGTGTAAATGTGTGTTTTTCTGAATCATTTGAAATTAAGTTGCAAACATCATGACATTTCACCCCTAAGTCTTAGAGCATGTATATTGTAGCAGTAAGGACATTTTATTACATAATCACAGTTTTATCAAATATACAAAAATTTATTGTAGTGCCCAAACATCATCTAATCCCCACCCAATACTCAGTTTTCCCGTTTGTTTCTGATGTGTTTGGTTTCAAATGTTTTTGTTTTGTTTTGTTTTGTTTTGTTTTGAACCAGGATCCAGCCAGGACTCACACATTGCATTTGGTTGTTATGTCTCAGTAATGTTTTAAGCCAAGAACCATTTCTCCAGTTTTCATGACATTGACTTTTGAAGAGACCAGGCTGGTTGTCTTGTCCCATGATCTGGATTTGTTTGTTTCCTTGTGGTGTTTCCTGATTTGTTCATATATTAAAGGAGGATTTTTTAAAAGACTGGAAATACTACAGCCTGTCTGTAAGGCTGATGGGAAAGATCTGGTCTCCACCTGGGTTGCACGTCATAGAGTTTGGAACGTTTGGTGGCGTAGGGCTGTATGTGGACATTGGGAGATTTTAAGGGAAGAGGGTATTTCACTTTTTCCAAAAGGTGACCCGTGAGAGCATTCTGGGGGTAACCATGGGCTCTCTGCATGGAGGCTCTCCCCGTTGCAGTCTTAGAAACACTTCCTGTTTCTTGGAAGGGGGGGATGAGCAGGTTTTCTCACCCTTCCCATAGTCTCACTGCTCATTCCCTTACTATGGGAAAAGGGTTTCTAACCCTCAAAAGGGAACCCAAGCACTGAAGCTTTGTTTGGACGGCTGTGTTCTTCCTACTTTCTGGTTATTTTACACAGTAGGCTTTTGTGATTTTGGTGGGATTTGGAAAGCATGGGAGAGAGATTTTACACAGCTTCTCTTTGAATTTGTTAATGGATGGATTGGTCTGATTTTTCTCTTCCCACCCCTTCTTCTCTAAAGATTTATGATATTCAGACTGGCAACAAGCTGTTGACTCTGTTTAACCCAGATCTTGCCAACAACTACAAGAGGAACTGTGCCACCTTTAACCCTACAGATGATCTTGTCTTAAATGATGGCGTCCTCTGGGATGTCCGCTCTGCACAGGCCATCCACAAGTTCGACAAGTTCAACATGAACATCAGTGGCGTTTTCCATCCGAATGGACTAGAGGTCATCATTAATACTGAGATCGTATCCTTGACACCCTGTCTTGGGTTCCATTTGGTATCTAGTTTGCTTTCTACCAGTACTTGGTCAGAGTGTCCACACAGGTCATGACCTGGTGTTAGTGAGTCTCCAGTGGACTTGCAGCGATGTTGGTGATCGCCAGCACTTGGACTAGCATGTTCTTTTCGTACTGGGAGGAGGGGCTGGATTCCTTCCTGCTTCCCCAAGTATTGAGTTGACGTCTGTGTGTATGCAGAAGGTTTCACTAGAGATCACCTGCTAGTTGTAGGAGTAAAATGAGTCCTGTTGAGTGGAGGGAGCTCCTGTCGCCTCGGGGATTGGAGGACACCAGGGGAGCTTTGCAGGGACTTAGCAACATGCTGTTCCACCTTGATCTCACCGACTTTAAAGCACTGATACCGGGCAGAGGGGGAAATGTGGTCCTGGAGGACTTCCCCATGAGGCTCGATACGGAGTTTTGTACGGAACGGTTTTCCTTGATCATGCCCCTCCTAGTGGGACCTGCGCACCTTCCACCTCTTGCACACAGTTCCTGCTCTGGATCAGTGTCGGGTGGTGTTCAACCACACCGGGACCGTGATGTATGGAGGTGACACGCCTGTAACTTTTTTCATGTTTCTCCTCCTTTTCTCTCTGTCATCAATTTGACACTGCCTGTTTGTAAATATCTCTCAAATGTGAATCAGAAAGCATTTGAAAGTTGTAACATTAAAGATAAAATGCTAGTACTATTGGGGACAAATTTTGTGATGAAAAATACGTTGATTTAGGGTGAAAGGCTACTGGTTTGAAGATAACAACTAAATCTTGCATCACTGTGAACTTAGGGCAGATGCTCTGCATTGGTTGTCCTGTGACCCCAGCCTTCAGCTGTAGTGCTTGTTGGGAGCCAGAGGAGAGGCGGGGGGTGCAGTTGTGGACATGCAGAGAGAAACTATCTAGGCGAGTGGATCTGCCGCAGGGAAGCTCGCTTGAATGCCCACTCGTGTTTTCTGTCTCTGAGCCTAGGGCCCGTCTCTGACCCTAACCGTGTTTCTCTCCCCTGCCCCCAACCAGCTATGCTGCAGGCGGATGATGAGGATGACCTGATGGAGGAGAGGATGAAAAGCCCTTTTGGATCGTCCTTCCGGACGTTTAATGCGACTGATTACAAACCTATAGGTGAGCACGAAGGGGTGGGTGTTGATCATTTTGTCAGATTTCGGTATTCTGTATTTTAGATCCTCTGTTTTCTGGGAGGACTGTAATTTTTCACTGAAGAACAGAGGAGTAAGAGAAATACATATGAACTCACCTTGAATTCCTTTAGAGGAAGAGCTGGTTAAGGGCATAGGAGTGGTCCAGTCCTAAGTCTTACCACATCCTGTTTTCCAGCAACCATTGATGTGAAACGGAACATCTTTGACCTGTGCACAGACACCAAAGACTGCTACCTTGCTGTCATCGAGGTAAAGGGCCAGCAGGAATCCTGCTGTTTTGTTCTGAAGCTTAGGGTCATTTTCGAGTTATATTACAGGCATTTTGTCTGATAGAAATGTGTCCTAAAGTTAGTGTATTCCCGATGATAGATTATTAATAACCTACTCATGTGATGTGGAGATACGGTAAGAGAAATAGGAACCCCAATATAAAACCGTGTGGAGAGTGCCATCTCAGCAGAGCAGGACAGGCCTGTTCCAGGGAGGGCAGCCTCCCTTTGGGCAGTGTGCTTGCTGCCCAGGCCTTCCCCTCCTGGTTTCTTTGCCCTGGTAGTGTGCTGGGTATGCCGTTCTGAGAGTCGGTTCAGAACCTGGGTACTGGGAGCTGTGTGCTTACAGGGTCAAGGTGCTCGGGAGGCACTTGGAGCTGAGGTGTGGGCGTGGCCCTTCCGGGAACTCACTGCTCCTCCTGGCCGGGCATTCTGTTTCAGAACCAAGGCAGTATGGATGCTCTGAACATGGACACGGTGTGCAGGCTGTACGAGGTGGGCAGGCAGCGTCTGGCGGAAGATGAGGATGAAGAGGAGGACCAGGTCAGTGCCCTTGGGGGTTTCTCTCTGCTGAGCAGCTTCATGTGAGTTCTGCTTTTCTGCTCTCTACCCTAGGGGTGTTTAAGATCAGCCTTTGCTGCCTCGTGGCATATTCTGAAGGCTTGTCACGTGCCCTTGATCACCAAAACTTCAGTATCCAACCACAGGAAGAAAGGATATGTTTGTTACTGCAAAGCTGGGACCACTCCCTGATGGTCCTGTGGGTCCCACCGATAGGTGTGCAGGTCAGCAGTCTCAGGTGCCTCTTCAGAGGTTTCTGTGAACGACCCTCCCGACCAGTGCCACGTCTGGCTCTGGATAAGCAGCCCCCATCTCCCCAGTGTCAGCAGGAAACACATAAGCCACTCTGCTGATGTGGGTCATGAAAACGGCTCACATATTCTCAGCTTTATGGAATAGTCTATTTTCAGAGTAATAGAATAGAGCTTATAAAAGAAGATTTTGATGCTTTTGAGGAATTAAACATTTATAAAATGTGGGTAGGTAGTGTCATGTTTCACAGACTCGGAGCCTTCCCTTTCTCACCGGGGACTCTGACGTGTGGTCACGCCACTGTGGGTGCCGGCCTGTGTGGTGCGTCAGCATCAGGCCTGACGGGGCTTTCTGACTCCTGAGCTCCAGCCCCTCTTTCCTGTCTGCTGGGCTCACGCTCTGCTCCTGCTGAGCACACACTGTCCTGGGCAGATTGTTCTGTCTGATCTGAGTAGTTTGCTGAGTAGTACCAAGTTGAAGAGGGGTGACTAGGACCTCACTTTATTGTGGCAGATAGGAAAGCAGACAGAATACCCCTTTTTCTGATTTTGGTCCTGCTCTGGTTTTTCTTCCGCCATGGTGTGCTTTGTTTTGGCGCTCGGGCCCCTCCCCGCGGGCACCAGCACTCCGGGGGCCCTGCGGGGGCAGAGGCGCTCCCTGGCCCTGGCCTCCCTGCTCAGGGCAAACCATGCCCTGAGGTCAGGGCTAAGGGAAGAGCTTAGCGTTAGCATCCTCCTAAACGGCTTGTATGTAAGATTTGAAAGAGTTTTTAAAAACGATCATTTTTGACAATGGTAATTTTCAAAGTATTTTTTGTATGCAAGTCTAATACCATGGGCCAGTGGCTCGTGGTTTTCTCTGGGGAACTTGTGCCAAGCAGGGGGGTTCTGTTGCACCAGTTTGAGATTTAGGTGTGTGTTCCCCTGATGAGCCTTTGCAGATTATGAACCTGTAGTTTGGCTTCTAAATGGAGTCTGAACGCTCACCTGCGATCAGCAAGTGACAACAGACTCACTTAACAATCCCCCCCGTGCGCTCTCTACACCTCCCCCCTCTCTGGGAGACCGTTCTGACTGGATGCATTTCACTGGGGCTCAGGGATGATTCACAATCCCCAGAAATGGGTTTCTGAGCAGAGTGAGGAAAGGAGACTTTCATGTTCGGGGGCAGCCGTCACCGCGGGCTCAGCAGAGCCGGTCCCGACCCTTGGCTCTGCCTCTGCGGGATGTCCTCTGAGGGAGGGGCAGCTCCCCAGCTCGCATGCACGTGAAGGTAGTTGTGATGCTTGTTGGATGTCATAGACAGGAATATTTTATAAAGCACACTTCACTGAGAATGACATCTTTAGTACAATCGTTTTTATTCTTTCTTGGATAGACTTTATTTTTTAAGTTTTAAGCAACCGAGCAGAATGTACAGAGGTTTCCCATGTGTGCCCTTTTCCCCGCATGCATAGCCTCCCCTGCTGTCAACACCTGTTGGTACACATTTGTTGTAATCGATGAACCTACACTGATAGATCATTATCACCCAGACTGCACAGGCGACATCAGGGCTCACTCTTGGTGTGAATATTCTCTGGGTCTGGACAAGTGTGGAATGGCCTGTACCCCCGTAGCAGCACCATGCAGAGTAATCCCACTGCCCCGGGCAGCTCTGTGCTCCTCTGATTCATCCCTTGCCCTAGTGCCTGACGACCACCGATCTTTTTACTGTTCCCACAGTTTTGTTTTTCAAGAGTGCCTTTAGCCGGAACCATGCAGGATGTAGCCTTTTCAGATTGGCTTCTTTTATTTAGTGATGCTATGCATTTAAGTTTGTTCCATGTCTTTTCATGACATGATAGCTCATTTCATTCTAATGCTTTATTTATCCATTCACCTATTGAAGGACATCTTGTTTGCAATTTTGAATAGTTCTGACAATCGTTTTGGCATAATTTTGAATAAGGTTTTGGCAGTTACGAATAAAGTTACTGTAAACATCAGTGTGCAGGGATTTGTGCGGACATAAGTTTTCAGCTCTTCGGGGTAGATACCAAGGAAGGCTATTGCTGGCTCGTATGGCAGGAGCAGTTGAGTTTTCTAGGAAACCGACACAGTGTCTTCCAAAGCAGCTGCACCGTTGTGCGTTCCCACCAGCAGGGAGTGAGCGTTCCTGCGGCTCCACGTCCTCACCAGCATTTGGAGATGTCAGTGTTTTGGATTTTGGCCATTCTAATAGGTGTGTGAATGGTATCTCACAGTTTATCTAATTCAAAAATTAATAGACATTCCTTTAGCTGAACCTCTACAGGCCATCAGAGTGTACGATTTAAGATTTTTCTGAGTAGTAAGGAATTAAGGTGTTGAAGTTTTATGAGCCTGCTACAGGTGTTTTCTGAAAATCATTTAACTGAGCCTTTCTGGGACCTCTCCTGATGGCTGCCGCCAGACCGAAAGGAAGGAGCCGTTCTTTCTCAATTCCTCTCGGACTCCTGCCCACTTCAGGGAGCTTCTTCCCAGTGGTAGGGTTTCCCACGGTTGTTTTGGCTTCATTTCCCTGGTGCTCTGTAGTGTGGGGCCTCCTTCCCTGGGCTTGCGCATGTGCCATATCTATATCTCCTTTGGTAAGGTGTGTGTTAAAAGTCTTTGGCCCATTTTTAATTTGGGTGGCTAGTGTTTTTATTGAATTTTAAGAGTTTTTTGAATATTTTGGCTGACGGTCCTTTAGCTGATACATCATTTGCAGATATTTCCTCCTAGTCTATGACTTGTCTTCTCATTCTTTTGATAATGTCTTCTGCAGAGCAGAAGTTCTGTTTTGATAAAACCCAGCTTATAAATTATTTTTGTTAGGGATAGTGCCTTTGCAGCTGCATTTAAAAAGTTATTGCCAAACCCAAATGTTGTCTTCTAGGAGTTTTATAGTTTTGCATTTTACATTTACATTTTATGAAGGGTGTAAGGTCTGTGTCTAGATTCATTTTCCTGCATGTAGATGTTTAGTTGTTCAAACACTATTTGTTGAAAAGACCTCAAGTGCAAGCTTAGGTGATTTATTTAGATTTTTCTTCTTTTCTAATATATGGTTTCAATGCTATGAGTTTCCCTCTATGTGCTGCTTTCATTGCATCTTAGAGTTTTATAAGCTATTTTTACTTTTATTTAGTTCAAAGTATTTTTTAATTTGAGATTTCTTCTTGACTTATATGTTACGTAGAAGTGTGCTGTTGAATCTCCCACGTATTTTGGGATTTTCCGGCTATCGTTCTGTCACTGGTTTCTAGTTTAATTCCATTATGGTCTGAGAGCAGACATTATATGATTTCTATTTTAAATTTGTGATGGTGTGTTTTATGGGCCAGAATGTGGTCTGTCTTGTACATGAGCTTGAGAGGAATGTGTATTGAGTGGCTGTTGGACCAAGTATTCTCCAGACGCCTATTACATGGGCGGGGGGTGCCAGTGAACCCCGCTTGCCCTCATGGAGCCCCTGCCTGCTGGAGCTGCCCACTTATAGGGGAGGGGTATCAAAGTCTCCACTTGGGGCAGTTGCCTCATCCATTCTGTTTCTTCTTGCAGTTCTGTCACATTCTTCCTCACAGATTTTGATGTTTGTTCTCTTGTTAGACCGCGTACATGTTAAGGATTATGTCTTTTTGGGAGAACTTATCAGGGATAAGCTTTCCTTGATCTGGGGTTCGCTTTGTCTGCAGTTAATAGCTCTACTCTGGCTTCCTTTTCATTCATGTTAGCACGGTGTATCTTTCTCCATCCATTTTTTTAAAAAATCAGGAAGTGTCTTTATATTTAGAGTGGGTTTCTTATAGACAATATATAGTCAGGTCTTGTTTCTTGATCTGCTCTGTAATGGCTGTCCTGTGCTTGGGGTGTCCGGAGCGTCGATGTCCACAGTAGCTGATCGGCACAGTTGCATCCAATCTACTGTGTTTGTTACTCTTTTCTACTTGCTGCCCTTGTTCTTTGTCCCTGTTTTGTCCTCCACTGTTTTTCTATGTTTTTGATTTTAACTGAACATTTTATAGGATTCCATGTCTTATTTATTTATTTATTTATTATTTTTTTATTAAGGTATTATTGATATACACTCTTATGAAGGTTTCACATGAAAAAACAATGTGGTTACTACACTCACCCATTTTATCAAGTCCCCACCCACACCCCAATGCAGTCAGTGTCCACCAGTGCAGCAAGATGCCACAGATCCACTGTGTGCCTTCTCTGTGCTACACTGTTCTCCCCGTGACCCCCACACCGTGTGTGCTAAACATAGTACCCCTCAGTCCCCTTCTCCCTCCCTCCCCACCCGCCTTTGGTAACCGCTAGTCCCTTCTTGGAGTCTGTGAGTCTGCTGCTATCTTGTTCCTTCAGTTTTGCTTCATTGTTATACTCCACGGAAGAGGGAAATCATTTGGTACTTGTCCTTCTCCGCCTGGCTTATTTCACTGAGCATAATAATGTCCTCCAGCTCCATCCATGCTGTTGCAAATGGTAGGATTTGTTTCTTTCTTATGGCCGAATAGTATTCCATTGTGTACATGCACCACCTCTTCTTTATCCACTCAGCTACTTCCACTCTCTCTTTTATTGGCATATTAGTCATACTTCCTTTTGCATTGTTTCTGTCTTGCCCCAGGTTGGCAGTGTGCATTCACAGGTGATCCAAGCCCACGTTCAGATACTACTGTATCCCCCGTGGGGATTCTGGCGCTTTACGCTGACAAAACC